TATAAAATCATGCGCTCAAAGCCCGAAATCTAAATAACACTATAATATAATACCAAAAATCATTACACTCACTTCCAAATAACTACATGCATCAATATATTTAAAAATATTTCGCTAATTCAATATTAGAAAGTTATTTACAATAAAATAATAAAGATTATCTTTTTTATTTCCATTATTTGGAATCTCGATTATGAAAACTTCTACATAATATATTCTTAACATTTAGTGTATAGATAAAACAAATCACAGTAAAAGGTAATGATCGACGATAAAAATTGAAATGTGATGATTGTTAGCTCATGCGGATAGTTTGTGCGAAAGAGACATTTGAAAAACGCCAACATATAAACGTGTAAAGCATTGAAGTTCAGAGAAGGAATATATATATATATATATATATATATATATATATATATATATATAAGAAAAACACAAATGTTTGTACTCGCATGAATCCACACAAGTCGGAAGACGCCAAAAGTGTGATTTTGTTGTTTTAGTAAAAAATTTCAAAATAAATTTAATAAAGTATATCGATTACTATAAATATTAACATAATGTTGGTGAAATAAAAATATTAAAATTATATTATGATTCCAATACATTGTCTAAAAGTTAACTTATTTTTATATACATACATCCGACGCAGGTGACTGATTTGCTGATAATACCTTTAATATTTCATCACATCCTCCACTGTTTATGTATCAGTTAGAATCGAAATTAGCAAACTATACAGTACAACCACAATATAGTGGAGATGTAGAGATGTCAAGTTACGGTTGTTACAAGGAACTTTCAAGTTAGTATGAGACAAATACTAAGAGATAGAAGAGACAGATAAAAAATAAAAAGTATATTAGAAGTTAATAAAATGACTTGCATTACGAGGTCATGAAAAAAATTGTCGAGAAATCGGAAGCCAGATGCTTTTAACTTTTAGAGATTGATAAGCGGTTACTACATTATGTATTAGCAGCAACTTTACACTTGTGTCTTATTTGCAGGCAGAACAATTTGAAGTTCGCTATCAGGTTTGACTCATTTACTTTTCTTAATAAAAAACGAAAGAAATTTGTGTATTAAATATATAATTTTAATTATTAACATAGATTTTGGACGTTTATCCTTTTTTACAAAATAAAATATCTTCAATAATAGATTTAATTTAAGCCAAGGAAACAAATACTTTTATCAAATAAAAACGTTTGCCATTCAACAGTCACCATGCTTCCTGATTATCAATAGGGGGAAATAGCAAGATTCTGAGCAAACTTAACTTACATTTAAAATTGGTGACAAATAGTATAACTATACACATATATATGTATATACAAGTTATTACTGTAAAGTAGTTTTTTTCTTATCAGTTCAGAAGGATACATCTAATATAGGTATTAAAAAATGCGAGTACACGCAACATCTATCACTAAATATTCATATATAATTTTGGTTTCAAAAGGATTCAAAAACGACTACATCACGATTAAGCTCTAACCTGGGGTTTCTTGACAACATTTTAACATTAAACAATGAAAACATGACACCTGTTTCAAACAATTAATTATTTATTATACATACAGCTTATATTGATGAAAATACGCGTATAGGTGTACGTGACGCTTATGACAATTATTATTATTAAATACATTAAATATTATAATATTATTTGATTTAAATTGTTATGACTAAATATATATGAGTATATCTATTACTATATATTTACAAATGAAGTCTGCTCAGACCCTGACAACGGAATAGTGAAGTATTACTTCTTAATGCACTTTCAAATGCACTTTTTAAGTTGTCATCCATGTCTTATAAACGCGTAAAAATCATTGTGATGAATAGAAAAATAAAACGACTGATACTGATAAGTATATTAACGTAACATGTGAACGTGTTGGTGTTCTCAAAATGTGAGCACGGAATTTGACGTATTGGGCTAAGGATAACAGCCAAATATTTGAAATAAACTCGTTAAAATTTTGTATTATCCGAATAAATTAAGTCTATATACACAAGTAAAACGTTCGTATATAACTGACCGCGCTACGTTTTATCAATACAATATCAATGTCATAACATGGTAACGAAACTTATACTACATAATCGTGATGAAAAGTTTGCGATTGTAACTCTAGCAGTAAACTGGCTGCCACAAAACGACTACGAATAAGATTGTTATATGATAGTCAGAGTTTAACTCTTAATGCACATTAACGTCGCCCTACATTTAATACATTAATTACATTCAATGGAAAACATCTAATGGATCCACCAATTAAATAAATACCCTACTATTTGATAGCGATAAGAAGCGAAAATATACAATTGTAATTACTAAGCTACAATTGTATCCCGGATATATGGCAACATTTAACATTCACATTGAATCATTAATCTATTACACAATATTGTGGGCTCGCGGCCCGAAGTGTCCTCGTCAGAGTGACGGGTCTACAAGTGTTCGAGTTTTGTACATAATAATCAATCTGTGTGACTGTAGCATAACTAAGTCGTCCAAATAAGCGACATTTGCGCATAAAACACTGACAAGTGTATTAACACTTTGTCAATTCCAAATAGGATTTATTAATTAACGTCTCAATCGTTTTAGTAACTCTAATTCAGTAATATCAGCGTTTCTGTTAAATATACATATATGTTATACATATATTAGCAGGACATGAGCAAACGTGGTCTGAACTCCGTGTCTTGAAGACATATGACGATGGAATCAGGCTATTGAAACAAGAACGTGTTAAAACGTGCAACTAGAGTGCGTCTAGCCCAAAAATAGTTGCTATGAATAATGCTTAAAAATAATCTTAACTCGAAACCGTTTAGTAAACTTTTGTTCAAAAAATCTTATTATTAAAGAATTCTAGAAATAAACTACAGCTTAAAATAATAAATGCACAGATTAAATTGGTAAAATAAAGTATTTCTTCTAAAATCTTTGAATAAATCGAAATATTTATATTATTGGTAGCCACTGTGCTCTCATTTAAAATTCAATCGTGTCGCCATTTTCAAATATTTTTTCAAGATATAATTTTATAAAAAAAATACGAAAATAAAAAAATATAAAAGATCACAAATGCTTGGAGTATCTCGTTCAAGCTAGACGCACGAGGCGAAATTATGCGGAATTACAAGTGTGCTATAATACGACATTGCCTATTCGTGAAACATCTTCAACACACGCATCAGTAGGATGTCTCGACCTAAGTGTTGGCAAATTTACCTTTTTTTAGTCCTTGAAAAATACCATCGACGTGAATCTACGCTATGGTTTTTTTATAGAATAGAGCACTAGTAACGTAGAATAGAGCACTAGTAACGGTAGTTCCTGATAATTCGTATATAACTGTGAATAGAAATAGCATGACCATTGCGTGGACCCACATTGAGATATGACGGCAGCAATTTCTTTTACCAAGTTCTGAAGACCCGAATACGTGATGAGAAGAACAACTGTATGGTATGTACGTACGTCGTACGTACTGATTTAGAAACACGCTTACTGCCATTCCATAAGTTCCAGCTTTTTATACATTTCAAGTGGAACGACAGTAAAATTGATTCATATAGAAATTTAGAAAATCACGCGTTCGAGCTTCAGAGCGACTTATGGTTTAAGATGTCGTAAATAATGTATGGTGGCATTCTCAATCGCCTATATCGCATCTTAAAACCGAATATTTACAATATAAAATAATTTTTATGACATAATTTATGCTTAACAAACATGCACTTAAAACTAACACATCCCATCTAGGCCCATTCAACCTTGACTATCCCGATGAGTATTGCCAAATATTGCACATAACAGATGTAGAAAATATCGCTTTATAAAATCGATACGCCAGTCAGTCCAATATACAGTTTATCTACAATTCCAAATTACTCCTATAAATTACACTTGTGTAAAATGATATGCTAATACAAATTTAAAATAATTTAAATTCATTTGAAAAACATAAGGTCCTATTTCTCAGTTGCCACGTGCAAGTTGTGAATATATTTATGTATATACAATACATTGTGTACTTGTAGCTTGTCCCCGCGAAATGGCTTGTAAGATAAAATGCATTGAAAAAGAAAATTAAACACATTATTGTAATTATGTAATGAATCATTAATTTACCAAAAAAAATCGAGAAAATTTAAGTTCTTGATCATACATATGTATATAAAAAAACCTTCTGCTAATGATTTGCTGTTATCCTTTTAAATTTAAATAATTTTAAAATTTAATTTCCAACAATCATGATTGTCTTCTGATTGAATCCATGCCATGAGCTACTAAAATATATCATTTTAAAGATTTTTTCTATTTTATAAATATACACTTTATTATTAACTGGTAGGGCAGTGCCATTGAGAATATTTTTTTTAAATTGCTAAAATCTTGATGAAAAATAATATAATAATATTAGAAGCCCTGCTTCCTTCATATCTTTAGTATTCAAAAAAAAAGAAAGGTTTACATGAAATGATGGCGTCATAAACTAGATGCTTAAACAAAAATATATTATTAGATATAAAACATAGGTGAAATGAATTTTTAGACATTCAGTGCCAATGCCCTACCATCCTGTGATGTACATTGTGATAGAGCAGCTTTGAGAAATAAACAATATATCCATATCAATAGACATTAATAATATACTTAATGAGATTCCATATTATGAGGCACAAAATAAAATAGTAACGTTAACAAAAATATATAATATGTTATAATAATATTATGATTTACTTGTGCACCACAAAATGCACAAAAATATACATCTTAGAGTAACTTTAAGTTATTCATTGAGCTTTCGATTTATACAAATAAATAATGTAATAAACTACATCAAGAATTAAAGGAGAAAAATATTAATTTAAAAAGTTCTTATTTACAGGTATTCTTATGTTAACTGTACACTCGCGTTCATCGTCCGCCCGGACGCGGTCGGGACTTAGCGTTTTTTCCGCGGTTTATATCACCTCACTTCACAGTGTTTATTAACGGTGACGGGCAGCGAGGCGGGCGAGGGCGCGGCGGCGGACGTCGTGGGCGCCGCACTGCCGTCGGCGCCTGCCTCCTTCATCACGTAGCCGGAACCCTGCGAGCTACGCGCCAGTTTTAACCGAATAGGCGTCACTTTATCGGTGCGTATCCTGCGCATGGTGGCGACCTCCGAGCTGAAGGGCGGGTCGATAGCGAGCGGGTCGGGCGCCGTGGGGTCGTAGTCGAAGGGGTCCACGGCCGGCTCGGGCGCTGCCGCCGCCGCGCTCGCCAATGTTCCGCCGACCTCGGTACCTACCGCTTTCCTTTCCTCGTCCTTAGTACGCTTTATCTTTATTATTAATTTCGTAGCACTTTCACTTTCACTATTAATAACACGCAGTTTCTCTTTTTCAGATTTCTTTTCCTTCTTCTTTTTGCGTTTCTCGCTCTTATTGGGCTTGTGTTTCTTCGTCTTCTCGTCCTCCTCGAAGTCTGCCATTACCATTCGTCGATATTTCATACTCTCTCGACGTAAATCTTCAAAACTCGGCTTAGGTATGCTTTGAAGACGCTTTTTCGGCGGCCGAAACTGGAAGCCGGACGATTCCTCGCTTATTTGCTGAACTGTGTTAGAACCAAGCTTTATTTTTAATTTTGGAGCTACGGGTGACGTGGCACTAGGGCGGTTGGGTTTATTGGATACTCGGCCGCGTCTCTTATGAGCTTGACTGGAACTGCCGGCGAAGCATGACAACTTAACATCATCAGATGCATCAACATCGTCGTTCATGCTCACCTCCAGATGTCGTAGCTCTCGGGAGAGCCCACTGGTTGTCTTTCGCTTTTTCTTTTCTACTGGTGTATCAGATATTTTATAGTCTTCTCTTGTAGGAATACTGGTCATAGACGATACTGCTTTAGGTATAGTGATGACACCGCGACCTATAGGCGGCGGCACCGGCGGCGGAGCTACTCCCATAGTGGACGCAGTAGTTGGATCATCCATATTCATATCCTGAGTCCAGTATTGACGTAGTAGTTCTTTCTTTCGCATGCGTCTGAGATTAGTGGAACCGGTCATCATAGAACTTGTAGAACTGCTTGATGTATTTAGAGCGCTCGTGTTAGATTCGTGTGTGGGAGCAGGTGGTTGCGGCACCACTGGTTGCACAGAACTTGCGGAATAATTTGCATCTAAGAACGGACCTTTAATCTTTACTTTGAGTTGATTTCGTGAGTCACTCAATGACACTTTCGGTAACTGTGGAGCAATAATGTCTTTAGCTGGTTCCTTTAATTCTTGCACAGAGACTACGACTGGCGTACCTGGTTTAGGCTTGCTCGCCATCAATGCGGTGTGAAGTTGTTTCTCCATTTCTTCATCTATTTCCCCTAGTTGCTGGTCGGCTGTGCCACTAGCAAAGGCCAACAAATGGCTATGGTAAGCGTCGTTAACCGGTGGAACGGGCGTTTCAAATGGATTGTTATATGTACGCATATCAACAGGTCCCGGCAAAACAGGCTGCACTTGTGAAAATCCAGGACCCCTTTCAGTGTTAGATTTACTAGATGGCGATGTAGGATCCTCGGAAGGTTCAGGTGTTGAGGACTTCATATCTTTATTTTCACTTACGGGTCGTTTGAGTGGTGGAGGAGAATCCGCGCGAGGTGATTGAGAGGAATCTTTATAAGAGTGTTCTGATTTTCTGTCATCTCTATCAATTGATTTTCTTCTTTCTCTGAGAGCTTTTAGATCAACACCGTCATTAGCTATATCTTCATTAAAATCATAAACAGTGCCAATTAATTTATTTTGAATCGAATTCCTTAAGTAATCTGCAGGGGGATAAGCTTGTCCTCGACTCTTAGAACGGCCTCGACCTCTTTGACTTCTGTTACTTTTGTTGCTCGGTCGTTTTGTATTCTTCGAGGTATCGCCTTGCTTAGGTGAAATACCCGGACTCTTACCAGGCGACTTGCTGGGGAATTTTGTTAGCAATTTAGTTTGCTTTGGAGATGACTTTGGTTCCGACTGCGGCAAGCTCATGTTGGTCTCGCTACTGTCAGTGGACATTTTAGTGGGAGCCCTCGTGTTACTTGCCTCATTATATGAGTCGACACTGATGCTAGGACTTGATACAACATGTATAGATAGTTTATCACTGCCTGTGACATCGATTTCGTCTCGTGGAGAATCAAGTGGCTTTTGTGTGGGCGAGGCTATCATGGCAGTTGTTAATGCGATATTTTGAGACGAAGAAGTAAAAGCGGCACATAAAGGGAAAGTTGGTTTTGGTAGCGGTTGCAATAGAGGTGTAGTGAACGGTAAGCCAGTAGCATATAGCCCTGGTGCCGGCGAAGGTAGTGATAGTTGTGAAGAAGCACACGCTCCCGGTGCAAATAATGGCAAAGATCCCATTGTGCTTAAAAACGGTGAAGCCTCTGGCGGATAGCTCGTGTACTGGTTTAATGGCATTGTTGGTTCCACTCGACACGAATAAGCTGGTATGGGAGGATAGGCATCAATCTCCGGCAATACGGGGCCTTGACGTGATTCACAAATAAGATGCGATTTTATATTTGCTTTCTGTGAACAAACTGATCCTTCAGAATTTGTACTTGATGCTGAGGATCTTCGTGTCGTTATCTTACTTTCTCTCCATTTTGAAGCATGACCAATATATGGTGAGGATATTGTAGCGCAATCTGAATGTATTACTGAATTGTTATTATCATAGGTTTGATTGTCTTGTGTTAGGTCGTGATCATTACTGTGCACAGAATGATCAACTACTGACAGTGATTGAGAATCGTCACTTTGTTTAGACAATGATATTGAGTCTGCAACTTCAGAAATTGATTGTATTGACTGAACGGTAGTAGGTTCTTTGACGTCTTCAGAAAATGATACATTATCATATTTTGATTCACTAGACTGATCTAATTGTGGTTCATTATGAGATATGGTTAGATCTACCCATTTATCGTTACTGGTCAACGGCATAGTCTCCTCTTTATTTACTGGAATTATATCTCTCGGTGTATCTACGCCCTCCACTGACTCTGAGAAGTGATTGTTAGTTTGCATCTCTTTGGGAGAATTTCTTTTATCATTTAAATCTAATATATTCTTATGTTCACTCTTTCCAATATCTAAAGCTATATCAGAGTCCTCGTCTCTTAATGCTTTATCATTATTAACTCCATCCTCTTGCACAATATTCTCTGTTGGCGCTTTTTTGTTTAGCTGCATTCTAAGTCTATCTACTAGATTTAATGTTTCCTGCACACCCTGTTCTTTAGAATCTTCTTGTAAGAAGATTTCAGAATATGATGTAAATGGTTTCATCATCTCATCGTGATTAAAACCGTCGTCCACTGCAAGCATGTCGAATTCAAATAACTCGTTATCTTTGGGCTGTGGAGAGAATATGTTACGATTTGGAAATGTATTAACAGCTGACGGTATTTTGGCACTTTTTGATATTTCAACTCCCTGGACATGGCTGGAATCTTGAGTAATATACTTTTTATCTGTATCCAGTAAAGAACGTTTTCGTATATTTCTAGAGATAGAATTATCAACATCCATTGGTTCTATTGTTCTTGCGTCCATGGGTGTCTTTGGTGACTTAATCATAGTGTTCTCGTTAAGATTAGCCTGTATCTTTGCAATCATTTTAATACTACTTTTATCGGCACAGTCAGAATCGAGGGATTTATCTTCAGTCATATATTTCTCATGATCGCCAGGTTTTTCAACAGGTGGAGGGTGAACATTCGGACTGGGTGCTTTAGGTAACCAATTCTTATCTGAGTCAGTAAAGTCATCATTGATAGGTGTATGTTTCTTTTCTATAATGTCGATAGTAGTTGGATGTTCTATCGCAGAAGTAATTTTCTTAATTGGAGATAGACAATCTTCGCGATCGGTTGTTACGGAATCACGTCTACCAGAACGTCTTTCTAAAGATGTGTCGTGTTCTCTTTCTCGAGTTTCTTTAGGTGGTGATAGAGTTGGTTTTTCAAGAGGATCTTTCACACTCATTCTTCGATTTGCAACTGCTTTGTGTTTTATTTCTGTACTCTTCCTAGGGCTAGTTCTCTTCATTAGAACAACTTCATTTTCAGTTACTTTGCCTTTTTCCTCTTTATTATCTTCGATCGAGACACGGCCTTTAGGTTTTATAGCTTTCGTTGTTTTTACATCGGTTTTGGTGGCGGGAACTTCTTGAGAATCTACACTCTTTCTCTTTACCTCCTCGTCCGCTTTCCGTTTCGGAGCTGTAGGTTCAGTGGACTGGACGCTCTCTTTGGGAATTTTATTGGATGTAGAGGAATGTCCGATGGTGAGGTCTCGAGATGGTTTTCTCTGTCTGGCATCAAGCTTATGAGGCAAATTTCCGCTTGCAGTAGTGCTTCGGGTCCGAGAACGTGTGGAAGCGCGCGTATCATTGGGTCTGCTCGGTTCCTCTCTTTCAATAGGCGACGATGTAGCCCCGCAATCGGACCCCCGTTCGGAAGTTTTAAGCTTCTTGTCAGGGGCCTTGCGTGGGGACCTGTCGATTGAGATACTTTTCCTTTTGGGCCGTCTGCGGGGACGCTTTGGAGAGGGGCTACCGGATCCTGAAAATCTTGATCCTTTAGAACTGTCAGAATCACTCGAGGAACTAGTTGAAGACAATGGTCTTGACACCTTGTCAAGAAAGGGCAAGTCCACAGTTGGCCTAGCACCAGGAGGTGAAAACATTGATGGTTGCCTTGTAACTGGTTTGATCTCACGCGCTTTTGCCGTTGGCTTAATGCTTGGTTTTTCAGGCTCTTCATCCGAGCTTGATGAAGAAGAATAGCTGCTGCTACTACTGTTAGATGAAGAGCTTGAACTATCTTTGGGTGGGGATTTTGAACGTTTTGGTTCTTCTTTTTTCGGAGAGAATTTTGAATCAGGCTTTTCATCTTTCTTTTTATCATTATTATCATTTTCTGCAACTGGTACTTTAGTTCCTAGTCCACTCTTTATATGCGCTGCTGCCTTTTTAGCAGCTTGTCTTTGCGGTACATACGCAATAGGTTCTTTTTCTTGGTCTTTGGAAGATTTTTTCCTGCTTAGTCTCTCTGGAGGATCTTTAGGCTCCTTGCCTTTGGATTTAATTTTTGGTTTAGATTTAGAATCATCTCCGCTGACTTGTTTTTCTGTACTTGACTCTTCTTTCTTAACTGCAGTTGTAGAGCGCATATTTTCAGAAGCTTTCTTAGCAGCCTGCCTTTGAGGAACTATTAAATCAGTTGGATTGTCTTTTTGTTTGGCGAATTTAATGTTTTCTTTATTTTTAGCCTCATCATCTGATTCATTTGTTTTGACTGGAATTTTCTTCTCTTTGTTAGAAGGTTTTCTTCCTCTCTTCTTTGGACCTGGTTTATCTTCTGCAGGAGGCGTTTTCTTCTCTGGTTGGCTTGGAATAAATTCCTTCATTGCAGCTTTAGTGCGTGGTAAGGACTGCTGTGAATCACTTTCCTTAGGCGATTTAACAGATTTAGATTTTTCCGATTTGATCTTATCATTTCTAAGTCTAGTAGATTTTTCGCTTTTTTCCTCTTTTACAGATGCACCATCACTACTATCTGAATATATATCGACCGGAAATTTACTATTCCTTGTTGTCCGCATTGGTATCAACTCATCACTATCAGTACCAGATTGACCCATTTTTCCAGCTCTCATCTCCTTTTCCATTTGCTGTAGTGTCTTACTTCGTGATCTATCTTTTTTTATTCTTGTTTTTATATTTTCATCTTCACTACTACTCTCAACAACAGCTTTGGATTGTGGAATTTTTCTTTTCTTTCTTTCTGGTTTCTTTGGAGACTTTTTGCCTTTTCCTTTTGGCGAGACCTTCTTCTTTGGAGAAGTAGCAGGCTTCTTAACATCCTCATCTGTAGTTGACCCTAAAGCACGACGATATTTTGACGTGCGAGTAATCTCAGCGCCACTTTCTTCACTTGAGAGTCCACTATACATACTACCACTCCGCCGGGACCCGTTCACATAATGTTTTTTATAAGGATTTGCTGATTTCGACGCTCGCACGAGACCATTTCGATCTTTCTTTTTGTCATCGCTTGAATCTGGAGGCGCAATACGTGCCAGAAGATCGTCAAAGTCATTTTTGTGATCAGCAGCATTTGCATGAGAATATAATCTATCATAGATTGATGGCCCATGATTAGCTTCGATGATAGCCGCCAAGTCTGGGCCTGATATTGAGGGCTCCGCAGATAACACCGCCACTTGTTTGTGAAATGTTTGTTCTCTCATGCGAAAGAAAGACCGCGACAACTTTTCTCTTCGACTAACCATATAACAGAGATTTCGCACCCGCTCTAAATCTTGCCTTAGTTGCACAAACATTTTCATTTTGTCAAGATCAGCTTGTTCTTGTCTATGAGTCAATAACTCATTGTCATCTGACTTAGGAGGCAACAGGGGACGATTGTGTCCTGCTCGCCGTTTCAGTTTCCAGTAATTATAAATATAATTTATAGCATCTTGATCGACATCTAAAAGATGTGTGCTAATGTCTTTGACACTGACATGACGATCAAATTCTCCTTCTATTTCCTGCAGACGCGCTGCACGAGCTTGTGTCTTCTCTTCAGAAGTCATATCTTTTCGTCGTTTTCTTTTTACTTCTTCCTCATCCGAACCCGAGCCGGGACATTTCTCCTTTTTGGAGTTAACGCTATGTTTCTGACAATACGACCGTAATTTAACACCATCGTCGGCGTTTTCATCTTCAATTATTGCACGCATTTCTAGTCCATGTTTAAATGCACAGGTGACATGATAGGCAGTCTTACAAGTTTTCACTGAGCACTGAATGCAAGCACCTTTACGCTCGCGACACAAAACACACACCAGCGACCAGCGCGATGCTGGGATAGACGTTATTTTAGTTATGGGCTCCATTTTCTCCGCACAACCAATAGATACTTCAGGAATCCACAGTACACAGCTAACATGGGCCCACTTGTGGCCAGACGGTGTACACTTCATGGCTCCGCCCAGATTAGGACAGAGTACACAAGTCGGCCTGATACCAGCGCCGCAAGGACGACATAACCACTGACCTGAAATAGACATTATGCATTTAAAATTAGTAAAGCAATGAAGAGCAGTGTTTAATGAAAATTACTTTATATTTGAAAATGATATACAAACCATCTGGTATTACAGTAATGCCATAACAAGCTTGGTGCACGCAAATGTTACATGAATCGCAAAACACCATTTCGTTCCCATCCTCAGAATCTGGTGATCGACATACATCACAGATGACATTTTCATCATATTCAATACCCAAGCCTTCTTCCGATTTCATAATTGCCTGAATTTTATCCCACGTGCGGACCTTGAACAAACAGAATAAAAATTGTTACTCTTCATACATATAATGGTCCTTTTAACTTGAACCCATTTAATAATTCAAATTACATATACATATAAGCAGTAACATATCTATATTTTATATTGAATTATTTTATTAATTTAAAATCACTTCTATAGTTTAAATATATAGGTTGAACTTCTTGTAATCCGAAAACACAAATCAAAAACAGTCAATGATATAATATGTTCACAAAAACTTAATCGCGATTACACGAACAGTATACTAACACATATTAAAACATACATATTTTTATACACACGTTTTTACATTCCTTTTTATTTTACGTTCTAGAAAATATAAAATTACTTATGCTGGTTGATTCGTAACGCCTGGACTAAACCACTGAACCAAAAATTTAATACGTGTCAGTATTCTAACTGATGCAGCCATATTTTGTTTGTCTGTCTTTTTGTCACACAACGGATATCAAGAGAGAGTTACGTTTAAATATTTTTACAACCTTTTATTTAGTTTCTTCTGTCCAGGTCTGTGTAATGGAATCTTGCAAGTTAAATTTGACCCACTTCCTAGTGTCCATTGAGCTAAAATTTGGCATATTATTTTGGTTTCCTTTGCAATGCACGATTTTTAATCCAATATGGATAACGCTAATTAATGGTGATTTATTATTTCATATGGGTCACTATGACCCTTGTGATAATGAATCATCTAATGAATAGGAGATTTTTTTGATGAGCGAAACACAAAAGCAAAGTGACATTATTGTAAAACCAATATCGCAGACGAAAAACGTAAGGCGAACTATATTCTTAATGCACCTTCATAATATGGACATCAAATGAAAGGATTGCCTGAGAAGAATATGAATAACTTAAAAATAAAAAAATTATATAATTGTAAAAAAATCATTTTTAAAAACAAGCTTTTATGTAGCTCTAAAAAGAAGAAAATAAACTTTAAATTAAATCAAACCCATCAATTTATTTAAATTTTTTAAAGCAACCTGAACAGTGCGAACGGGTGCGTTGTCTTGCCGAAACAGCAACGTGTTGTTTTTTAGTTTTTTATACTATAACTTTCTACAAGTCTTTTACTTTCGATTGATACTAATTTGTTACAGATTTCTTGTACTTAAAAAAAAGTTTTTTTTAATTAAGAAATAGCCTGGAGCAAATGTTTGGTGAAACCCCACAGCCTCTGGATCGTGTTTGTTAATATTTTTTATGGAAAAAGAATGAGGGTCCACCACAGATAGAGATCTTAGACTAGTAAGCAATGTCAATAACTATACCATCGTAAATATCTACATTCAATTTGATATACTATGTGATGCTGAGAAAAACAGTGTGTGTGAAAAATATGTACAAATATTTAACAATGTGCTCGGCTCGTCTATCACCATTGTTCTTTTTATCGATTTTCATCTGTCACAAAATGTAAAGGACAAATTATGTATATAGTAATTCTTATCTTACTGCCCCAGGAAGACGTAGAGTATTCTGTATTTATTTATACTAAAGTTCGCCGAGTGGTCGAGCTTCAACCATGATCATTATTGATTTTTAATTTATAAAACTAAAGCTCGTTAATAGCTATTAAACTAAAACAAAAAAATAAACAAATCGGTTCACAAAAAAATTTATTTTAATTAATTTAATGTATTTCTAATTTATTTATATAAAAATATTATCTTTCTACACTATATCTCCATATATGCTCCATATATACTTTAACTGTGTCAAATTTCACATTCCTCCATCGGCGTAGTTTTTTTAAAAAGGGGTACAAAGTTTTTGCTTCACATATTAATATATAGATAAAAATTGTGTACATAGATATTTATTTACGCCAGTCGTGATTTATTTTTATTTTTCATTTTCTACGAAACTATATAACCAAATTACTTATTAAAGTTTTATCTCTATTGAGTAGTGAAACTATTTTTTTATAAAAATTAGCATTACATGGTGATATTTTTTTAATGTGGAAGCAACTGTTACATGTTAGAAGTTATCTTCTAATATTTAAAAGTTAGATATGTGATATCTTTTTTATAGTAAAAGGGGATAACGATCCAAATGATTACAAGTAGTCGCGACGCTGGGTCGCTCTTAGACATCTGTAATATAACATGCTGCAAATGCATTGCCGGCCTTTAAAAGGCCAGAAAATACGACTTTTGAAAATACCCATATTAGAGCGCTCGGAGAAAACCTCAGGAGAACGTTCGTTTCATAATTTGCTTGTGCTAGGCAGAAATGAACGTGATGCAGGTACATTTGTGGAATTCCAAGCATCTAGGATGTGTGGAAGACATCTACTCCCACATCCACATCGTCCAGACGATAAAAGACACTGAGAGCCAAAAACTCTCTGGAAGCTTAGAGGTTCTAAATCGTTTGTGAGTATGAGATCGTCGACAATACGATCTACCTAGTGTTGGATAGCAAAATGGAAGACGCTGATATTGGGGGATGAGAGCTCGGAGATGAGAACATTATTCTATGAGGGCGAACCTATTTTCCCGACGTGAAATATGGTTTAGCTCTGTTGAGCACTCCCAATTTTTTGGAAGGCAATTTGGCTTTTTTTTTCAGGTGACATCTAAACTCTCCGTTAGATATGTCCATTCCTAAAATCCCAATCCCAGATGTTAAGATGAGTGCTTCGGAACTTTGGCGCTACAGTAATTGGGGTTTTTTTAGTAGTGAACACACAAACTCGTGTCTTCGAGGGGTTAAACTGGTCGAGATTTCGTTGACCCCAATCCTGCTTTTACAAAAGTTTGTATTTCGGACTCTGTACTCCTTAACCTTAACTCGAAAGATACTTGCTTGGTCAGTATAACAGGCATAACCTGTACTGTGATCTACATAGCAATGAATGTTGTCAATTAGCAACTTATCGTTGATATGCATTAAAGTACCCGAAAATCACTACCTCCGCGCTACGATATCTCGTTGTAGCAGGAAATCTGTCGTTTCTTGGACGTGTTCTATTTCGACGTTCCCACAATGACATTTGTAGATACATACATAGTATGTATTCGGATATGTCCCCATATGTTCTGTACGTGACCATAAAATGGACAGATCCTTGTCTTCTAAGTTTCTTAGACAACGGTAGACGATATCTTCCCTGTACAAACCCTAGCTTTGAGCAGAAAGATATATTCTTAGCTGTAACCGGGATGTTCCAAACAAGAAGCAATATATCTACGCAATAAATAAAAAAGCAGACAAATATATCTACGTCTCCTTTAAAAAGACTGAGGACGGCTTAACAATATCAAGAGGGTAATGGGTACCATCGAGGTTGGAATGTAATCCCCTTATGTTGTCGAAGTCCACATTAAACGTGTAATGGGTAGCCGCTGTTCAAACGTTCCTTACCTGTGTTGCAACCATAAGTGTCAAAAAAGGGGAAAAATAAGGAATGCTGAGATTTCAGCAGATGAGGACAAATGTATACAGGTTTGTGCCTATCCCGACCGCCCAAGCCGTGTGTGTTGCTGGCATGGGGGAAGTACCCCCAATCCAACTCGACACTGATCGCCTTGTTCTACACCGGTTTTCCACTTGGGCATTGCGACTAAGGATTCAGTTTAACGAGTGTAAGTATGTATATTTTCGGTACGCTCTGTAGACTAAACGGCATGATGTATTTTAGGTTGAGAGATATCTTTAAATTCGTCTTAATATATCAAAATTATAAAAATTAAAACGGAAGATTTTTGGCGCCATATTATGTAATTAAAATTTATTTTTCCTCAAAACCTATCAAGCAGGGTATCAAAATAAAGGATTATATGAAAGAATTTAAAAAAATGTATACAACTTATACATTTAAATGTAATTTGGTATGAGAAACTCAAAAAACTTATTTACAAAAATAAAATACCTGACTATATAAAAAGCGTACTAAAGAGATAAAAACAAGTTGACAAAGGACCATAGTATTATGCAGTCAGAGACATACACACAATGCTACTCTAAAACATGTACATATCTAATGTGGTTCAGGTGATCCTGAATCATTCTGTGGAACCTATCAAGATAGAACATAATATTTAAATAGTGTATGTAAAATATTTTGAAAGAGAGCAATAAAAAAAATCTTTTGTATTGTAACAGGTAGTAAATAGTTAATTCCTATTTATATAAAATTAAATGTGAATTCATTATAACACTAGTGCTAAGATAAATAATTTACATAATATTATAATTTTTTGAACAATACTTTCCATGATTTTCCCGGACTATGTAATTAGATTGAATTGATTTAATAAAATTATTTTCTGTCCCCCTAATAGTCTCATGATATGCATCGGAGATATAAATTAGCTTATTTCTAATTAATTCAAAATCTCATATACTCACGGATAACTTAAACTCTTTATGTTAGTTAAAAAAAAATTATAACTCACCTCCAGTTCTTCAATAACTTTTTCAAGTTGATCTTCAGAAACTGAGGATGCTCCTGCCCGAGCTCGTTCTGTATTCAACAATTTCAACCAGGCTATGTCAGTTGCGTCCAAGTCATAGCTGCACGCTGCCTCAGCTCTTGCTGGGGTTGAACTTAGATAATGCTTGTCAGCCTGGTAGTGAGCATCACGCGTTAGGTGAATGTACTTGTCTTTAGGTCTGCAAATGAATTAATAATATTTAAACACCATCCCTAAACTATATTGTACATGTTTCTGTATCATATGATATAAATCAGAATATCCAGCTTGATTTTGTCAACACAATGTTGTAAAGCAACTGTTATGAATTATTTAGACCTTTTATAATTGGCATTCTATAACATAAGAAAAAGTTTCGCATGTACTTGTAAATCATAAATACAAAATTTATGTTATAAACATTAAAATTACTGTATGAATTTGAAATAAGGTAGTAATACATGTTTTAAACTCACAATTTAAAATCTTGAAAGTTAGATGGCCGTGGATTAGCAATGATTTTAACTTTTGGAGCTGGTAAGGAGTCAGGATTAACAGGCACTTGCACACCTCTCTCCCAGTCTTGTTTCCAAGTGTCAGTGATGATCCAGTACTCACTAGGAGTAAGTGGTTCCGAATCTGGTAGCTTCATTGCACTGATGAGATCTTTTCTGTAATTTTTAGGTGGAACAATTAAATCATCAATATTGATTATTGTAAAGTTAATCTGAATTTATTATTATTTTTTATTATTATATTTCACTTTAGGACTAAAAGGCACATTGCAATGAAATTAAATGTATACTGTACCATTCAAAAGTTACATGCAATTTTCAATTATGACTAGCTTTTTTAGATCTTTTGACCTAAATAGTAAAAAACTTGATGACAACAATTATTATTAAAATAAAAATATATGATAATCATGTTACATACTTACTTACATATTTCATTTTTACTAAATATTTGAGTAAAAATTCACAATTGCTTTATATAGTTTTAGCATTTATAAATAACCACTTTAACATACATAAATCACACATCACATTTTATTCTTACCTTTTCTGCTTAATATGGCCTGTTGTGAAAAGTGTTATCAATCCTGTATGATATGTTCTAAAGAAATAAACAAGGCACTTTTTGTACTTCTGCTGCAATATAACTTTTACAACATGATGAACACTTTTCACAAGAATTATAGCTGTGAATTTACATTCGCGAGAAGGCCGGCATTTAAATAAATAATAAATATGGCAAAATAGCATTTGCATAGCCCTATATTACTAAAACAAATGTAAAGTTACCTATCTTAATATACACATATTACTATTAACATAATATTGATTTAAACATATGATAACTTATTATTTTTAATCATGAACATATTACTATGAAATTAAATATACTACAAATATTTTAATACAAAATAATCAATTTTAATAAACAAACAAGTGAGATAAATATTTCTTACAATTTGAGCTACATTTTTAAAGCAGGTATCTTAATTTCATTATTCTATTTTATAAAACTAATCATATAGCAGCAATAAAGTTTGTATTATCATAAACACTTATTAATCTAGAGAAAGCTGTCCACTCCATTCATTGTTTACATGAGCAATTAAAATAAGTATACAATGCAAAAAAATGTGTATCTTAAAACAAAAAAATAATCAGAATTATAAAATATAGGGTAATTAATTTTTAATAAGATTTTGATGAAATTTCTGCAAAATGTCATATGAGGATATTTCTAACTAAATTTGTATATTGCAAAGCTATTGCGCACAGCTCTTTGAAGTTTTAAGTCCTTAATAATTAAGAAAGACAGCTTCAACATCTTACTGAATAACTTATTATTGCTATCTAACTTATTTAACTTCATTTCAGCAGTATTTTTGTCATATTGCTCTAAAATCATCACATGTCACTAGAAATAGCATATATATAATGAGACTGCATTGCAAGTAAGAAAAAATGAAAAGTTAAAAAAAAATACATTTCTTAAATCACATAAATCGCATTAGCATTTCACATATACAATTATTTCACAATATAACTATTTTAGCATACTTTCTAACATTTGAATAAAATACATTTGAATAATATAAGGCTCACAAACCTGAATAGTTCAGCAGGTGCCTCAGAGGCATTTCTATTATATATAGATGACATTTTGAGGTCACTGACAGGCCGAAGCTGCCAGAGTGCATCTTCGGGTTCTGCTCTACGACGTTTGGATGTGCCAGGTTCTTCACCACGCACCCCAGACGCCCGCTTTGTGCCTCGCAACGACATCTTGTTAAGTTTTTTCACAACCTACATGTTCACGAACCCTTCACTGCTTTACACTTTGAACGGGGTAGTAACATTGTGTAAAATGTCACATTATTCACATGATGGCATTTTAGTTTACAACCACACGAGAAGTACAACCTGCAATAAACATAAACAATAATTGAAGCAACTATAGTACACATAAAATTGTATGAAATGCAATATAGACTTCAAAAGAAAAAAAGTTAAACAAAAATAATCAAAATGTAACATACACAAAATATAATATAAATAGGCTTAATATGTATAGCTTTTTCGAAAACAAAGCTTATATTTAAGTCAAAACACCGCATTTACTGTGTAACCCAACTTAATCTGCAGTATATAATATAGTTTAAAGTAATAATTTCATGAAAAAATGCATTTTGACATAAGGAACAAATATGTCAACTCAATACTTAGCATCGATTAAAAAGAAGAGCTGATAATTATCAAACAATCAAAATTTACCTCATGATAATATGTAATTACAATTAAACATAATATACAGCATTATCATTTTATAATAAAGAAAATTAACAACCAAACTGATTTGACGTTTCACTATTGCACGAGTAAAATATATGGCGGGCCTGTAGATTGCTCAGAGGACCCGAGAATAGAGGCGGCAGAATTGCTCGACATTTATTGCTTGTTACATTTTGGGTTTAATCTTCGATAATTAAAATAGACTCACTTAACACCACAATCAATTTAAATATTTCCATTTTGTAATATCTTTTCAGTAAATATTTATCACACGGATAGTCTTCCATTAGACTACATAACAAAATTGACAACATAGATAGCAGCACTGTTTTGTTGCCAGATTGACGTGAGTCCTACGCATCATTTTATTCCTGTAGGTTTCGGTATGAATATAGATACATATGTATGATATTCTATAAGTCGATAATGTATTCATTATGTTAGATATAATTAGAGCACAGAAAATAACATTTATTTTACGTACATTTTCTGTAATAGTCATTTGGCGCCATTGATCCGAAAACCACTTTGGTCACGTGACTATATACGAATCACCAACGCAAGCCAAGTAAAATGGCCAAAACGCACATCGAGTCCATATAATGTCATTGGTTTTGAAATGAACTTGTCGCACAACATGAACATTGAGATGAGATTTTTAATAAATTAAGTTTCGGACTTAACCAAACACAAACACATTTTCAATAAACATTAGATTTGTCATAAAGTAGCACAAATAATCGAGATAATACAACATGAACCCGAAGTGAGAGATATCAATAAGAAGTTACATATATTGGCCACTAGTTGGCGCTTTACATAAAAAATAAGTTATGATGTTGCTAGCACAAAAATTACAGCTTCCTGTAGTATCTTGTTATAAACTTTTTATTATAATAATAACAAGTAAGAAATTGTTTTTTATTAGTGATTATTACATTACCATTTTGTTGTCAAAAAATAAGTTTTACTTTTATATATTTAAATTACTTTTACAATTAATATTACTTTCATATTGTGTATAATTCAAACAGATATATTATGTATCTCAGTATTTTAAAAATATCGTTAAATTATTTAATTGATTTCTATATATCCAGAATGTTTTCAAAACGATCGAGGTGAATCTCCATTTATACAAATCTACATAGGCAATTAAGTACGTAACACATTTAACAACGGTAAATAAACAGGGTTACCAGATAATTTTAGCACTATGCACTTTATTTACTACAAACATGACAAAAGTGAGTAATGTGTTCTACTTGGTATCTTCCCAGTATATATCTATACTCTTTGTTGGTATCATTTGAAATAGATATATGAACTTTATATTACTCTTAAAAATGATTAGTATAATATATAAAAAATATATATTAATGTTGAAATTGAAGGTAACTTTTTTGATTTGATAACTTATTCATATAAAGCAAAATCTGAAGCCAGAGGGTTATTCTGTTTTGTTTTATTTTACCGTTGTGTTCACTTTCCTATTTTTACGTCATTGCTCATTATGTGATTAATTTTTCCAGAACTAAGTCTGCTCTTTCTATATAGTCTTAATGAATCTAACTAATCCGCTTTTAATTCATTTATTGATAGGTTAGGAATCTTTCTGATTATAGTACTCGAATAATTTCTATTTTATTTTATACTAGCAGAACCCGCAGCTTCGCTCGCGCTAAAACTACGAATAAAATCTCTAAAAAGGTAGTTTCATACAAACTTTCATGCTCTATTTTACCCCCTTTTAGGATGAATTTCGAAAAATGCTATAACACGTATTTATTTAATATTATTGAAAAGCATTAATACCAAGTTTCGAGTAATTCTGATTATAAATATTTTTTTGTGTGAAATGTGTTTTCCCGTGAGAATTAGGTAATCTCCCGCGGTAAAAAGTAGATTATGTCACTCTCCAGCCCTCCAATTTTCTCCACACAAAATATCACGCCAATCCGTCACTACGTTTTGACGTGAAAGAAGGACAAACAAACAAACATACTTTCACATTTATGGATGACGTATGGATTATTAATGTTACTAGCGACTCATCCTTACTCCGTACGGGTTCGTCCCTTGGTACGTTTTAACGGGTCTAGATTTCTCAAAGGTGCGACATAATTATTCTCACAGTAAAAAGTAAACACTAAATGTTTACACGGATAATCAGCTATCATCATACCAAATTTAATTGAAATCTGTCCAGTGGTTTTCTCGTGATGCGTTCCCAGACAGACAGGCAGTCAAAAATTCTGAAATCTTTAGATTCGGCATCTGGACCAATAATATAATGACCAAAAAATATTTAAGATAGGTATAAATTCGACTCATAATTTTATTAGAAGTGTATGTGTATAGATTAATAAACCACATAATTTGCTCAGGTTCTAAAAAAAAACTTTTGTCTTTACCTCGGTGGGATTACGAATGTACAGGAGCCGTAAAAGAGCGGTTGTTAGGTTGTTTACCGCAAATCTTATCCACCTATTCTTCATAATAGAATGTTTTTCGCCGATTAACGCAAACGCCATAGAAATATATAATCATAAACTGCCGACATAGCAGCTTTTGGCGAGTTGTTGGTTAGTGTCGGGACCACGAAACTGTGATCTCCAGGTTGAAACAAAAATCAAATTTAAGATTGTTGAGAAGGCCATCGAGACTCATTCATTCGTCCACTTTTATACACCATCCAATGACGTAGTTCCTTTTTGGTATTCATATTTTGAAACATATTTCCTGTGATAAATAGATTCCCCAGGCGCAGAATTAACTACGACTTCGAATAAAATCACGAATTATTCTGTACATATATTTAATATTTACAAAAATATACTGTTAAGCTGCTGCCCTGTGTATCTACTAGTGTGTAAGTTGCAGTGCAAGTGGGAGCAACCCGTCCTTTTTTTTAGTGTCGGGAAATGCATTTACGCATACCACCTGATCCTCCAGGTGGTGATGTGGGGGCTCACAGTTAGAAGAGCCGGTACTAAGTGCGAGCAACCTCCTGGATATGTGGTCTCACATTCGCAACACGTCATATTGGCATGTAACATGTCGATGACGCGAAGCCATGAGTTTTCTCTCTAACAAAAAACGTGACTAAAAAAGCTTTCACCTTAAAAAAAGGGTAAATAGTAGGTAGGTACATTTAAAATATGATGTTCTCAGCAGTTCTGAGAACAGCTCCTGCGGAGAACTCATATATTATAATAATGAAATCGTAATAGACGCTTACGAGAAATGTGGACTTATCTTTTTATATGAGAATACAAACTTAAAATTACTGGTGCCCAATGTCAGGAAAATATGGTCAGTTACGTGGAACTTCTATGGTTAACAACCAGGGCAAACTTCGAACTTTATTTTGGCATATAATTTAATTGGCACATTTATGAGTAGGGATATGTTGTTCTTGTATTGGCCGAAAAAATAGGCGAAAATCTCATTTTATTCCATTTTATTTTGATATACTTATGAGTAGATATTATAAGTTAAGACGAGAAATTCAATAAAGATTTGCATATAAATTCAGCAAAACCATAAGAGCGGCCGTAAGAAGCGTGAAATAGGAATAACTCAGAGCCATACAATTTGTACTTGCAATATTGATTTATTGCTTGTAGAGTAGCGACAGTCGTCCTTGCATTGCCCTTGTTGCCCCTGCGATCGATAATTACATATAGATAGGTAGGTACTATACAGATACGTCATAGTATGCAGTTTACCAAATAAAATAGGTGTTTTTCAGTTAAAATACTAACCGCTTGGTTCAAAATTATCTAACAAAATAATAATAAAGGACTGAGTTCTTAAATGTATAACAGCTACTTATTGTACAACTTAATTTAGCTGCATATTTTTTAACTACATGCTTCCACCTGGGTTTTATTGATGTTAACAACTTAATTTCTACCATTGCCGTCTGCCAAAGCCCGAAAAGTTGTAGTTGGTGTATAAACGGTTCCTATACTAAAAGAATGTTAATACGTAGATTATTTTAATATGTTACTTAAAAATTCCCATAATTGCAAAAGGACGGAATATTATATTTAATTGCAGCATCATTTATATGTAACTTGGAAAAGATTAAAAAAAATCTTTTGCACTCTTCTTAAGATTCTTATTGTAATAGTTTATGTACATGCCATGCTGTAATAAAATTCTGAGTCGAATCATTACATTTTTGTCTGTCTATCTGAGAACGCATCACGAGAAAACCACAGGGCAGATTTTGATGAAAATTGGTATGACGATAACTGGATATCCAGATACTTTTTGTGACCCGGGTCAAATATAGGATTTTTAATTTTTCCTGATGGAAAATATCTCATCTTTGAGAAATTTATACTAACTGTTAAAACGTATGGCCTAGGGCCAAACCAGAGGGAAGGCTCGAAGCGAGGGTAGGTCGCTAGTGAATAACATCAATGTCTTTGCGATGAGTGTGCGGACACAACTGTAGGTAGGTACTCTGTGTTCCGTTAAAG